GATCAGTGGTTTGGTACAACCTGCCCTTTCCCCCATTCAGTAAAGGGATGGTGGGGATTTGGGGCACACGACCATCTCCCCGATGCATTGGGCGTCGTCGCGAGGGGCACAGGGAAATCGGAGGACTGCAACAACAATTCCAGGCAGTAAGCAAAAAAATTAAAATTAAAAAATTGCAGGGAACTGTGATTCTGGGGGCCTGGATCGGGAACGTCCTCTGGGGACCCCAGAAAGTTTGAAAAATTAAAAAAAAGATATAAAAGGAGTTGGCTAGAACTGTTGAGGGGGGAAAGAGGAAGAACGCATGGAAAACATTTAGTTTTGATCCGAGCACGGGAGCAAGTCAGATGCAAAGGTACGACATTCATGTGCAAAATCTTGAATACCTGATGCATGGATGTATGTTGTAATATTTCGTGGTGTAAACATTTAAGGCTAGAAACGCAAGAGCGTGGAGAAGCCGCGTCTGCCTTGCATTTGTGCCGGGAGCCTTGCTGAGAATCCTCCCCCCCAGATCAAAGCAAATGCACCCCTCCCTCACTCTGGCTGCATCCCATTCCTTCCAAAGGAGACCCATTTAATCCTTTGAAGACGTCGCTTTTGAGCCCCCCAAGTTTGTTTCTCTGCCACCCACCAACCAAGAAAAACCGGATCCATGCTCCACCCGACCAGCTCCCTCTCAAAGATGCATCTTCCAAGGCCTGGATAAGTCCAGTGGCTCTCAGAAATGCATCTTCCAGAAAGCGTGCCAGCTGTTTCTGGCAGGCTGCATCGCCCACCCTGTCTCCCTCATCTTGCAAGGTCCTTTTAGAAGCAGCAGCAGGAGCAGGAGCATGGCTAGGACAGCAGCTAAAGTTGTTTTTCCCTTGCAAATCCCATGGGTTCAGATCTTCAGCAATGCTCGGGTTGGGAGGGGGCAAGATTATCCAGGGATTGTGCAGGATCTTTGGTGATCTCAGCCTGCAGGTAACTCGTCTGATGGGGGGGCACGTCTGCTTTTTGTTTTACTACAGAGGGCACAGAATGAACCGCTTTGGTAGAAAGCAGATGTTACAAGGAACATCTGGACGGTCTGAATGGTACCAGAAAGGGAGGGATGCGATATATATATATAGTTAGACACACCAAAGACAACCACCACTACAGCTTTTATTGGGTGAGAGAACTCCGGCCGCCTGCCTGAATTTAAATGAATTGCAAAATCAAAAGCTGCTTCAGACCGTGGGGGCGACGTAGGATTCCTGCAAACCTCCACCCGCCCACCCACCAAACGTGGCTGAGATATGCATCAATTAACAGATTAATTTCCAAGCATCACAACAGCAACCTAGGAAAAATCTCAAACTTTAGTAGCTTTGAGGTCAGTAACCTATAGAGAAAGGAGTAGGGCCAGTTCAGTGGTTTGGACCTACAGGATAAGAATGAGCCGCTGGCAAGTGAACAGTGATGTTAAAAGTGTAAGAAAGGCCCCTGAGATCCACAGAAACGGAAGGGAGAGCAATAAATAAATAAATAAATAAATAAATAAATAAGTAAATAAATAAATAATCTCATTTGCCAGTCACTGGGACCCCAGATTCAGTGGTTTTTCTCAAAACAACACAGATGCACTGCTACACCACTGACCAGGGAATGGACTGGCAGGTAGAGGTCACTTCTTCTTCTGAGAACATTTGAAGATAAATAAACATAAAAGATAAAATAAATAAGAAATGTACCATTTTTTGTGGCTAAAGCAGGAACAAACCAATTCATTCAGGTCGCTGAGCCCAGAGAAAAGGACATTTCAGCTTTGAAGAGGGTCAGGGATCTGGAACGAATGAGACACAATGGCCAGCCACACCATGGAAACCACCTGCCCAATATCGTGTCGGTCTTTCTTGTGCAGCCAGAACAGCGCCAATGCATCAAGGCACGGACTCCGCAAGACCCCAGAACGTGGCATTTGGCACCGAGACATTAGCAACAGATGTTTTAGATCCTAGCAAGCTGCGAGGCGGGGCCTCCGTGGATCGGATGTTCCAGCACATCCGACAGATGCTCAATCAGATTGAGACCTGGGGGATCTGGAGGCCAAAGCAGCACCTTGAACTCTCTGACGCACTCCTCAAACCATTCCTGAACCATTTTTGCAGACTAGCAGGGCGCGTTATCCTGCCGAAAGAGGCCGCGGCCATCAGGGGGCACCACGGCCACGAAGGGGTGTCTGTGGTCTGCCGAAATGCCTAGGTAGGTGGCATTGTGTCAAAGCAGCATCCACATGAATGCCGGGACCCAAGGTTTCCCAGCAAAACACGGTCTTCACCGGCCCGGCGTCTTCCCCATAGCGCAGCCTGCTGCCGGTCTCCTCCCCAGGTAAACGAGGCGCGCACACCCGGCCAGCCACCTGATCTAAAGGAAAATGTGATTCATTAGACCAGCGCAACCTTCTTCCGCTGCTGCTCCACGGTCCAGCTCTGACGCGCATGCCCACCCCCTTTGCGGGCAGTTCTGGCGGTCGCTATGCAGCCCCATACGCAGCCAACTGTGACGCATTCTGTGTTCTGACACCGTTCTATCATGGCCAGCATTTTCTTCAACACCTTGAGCTCCAGTAGTCCTCTGTGACGAGACCACCCAAGCTAGCCTTCGTTCCCCATGTGCATCCATGAGCCTTGGGCACCCCCAACCCTAACGACGGTTCCCCAGCTGTCCTTTCGTGCACCATCTTTGGCAGGCACTAACCACTTCATACAGGAGACGCCCCAAAACAAGATAATGAATGCCACTCGCTTCACTTGTCAGTGGTTTTAATGTGGCACCTGATCCGAGTAAATCGCCCTCTTGCATGTACGATCGGCACCCTCTTCTTCCATGGTTCAGAAAGCAAAACGGGCAGAACCTAGCCCATTTCAACCAGTCACGAAACTTTTGCACGTGCAGCGGTAAGGAAACAGGAATGGTGTGAACTGTATCTTACTACCTGGCGGAGGATGCCGCTGGCTAATGTTAAATGCCAACTGGGATTCAAAACGGGAGTGATGGGCAGAAGCCTCCATATAAGCAAAGGGTTATGTATAAAGGAATCATTTATTATTTCAATGCAAGGAGGGCAAGGGCCCTCGGGCACTCCGCACCACAGAGGCTCCCATTAGCACAAAGTGGTACGGGGTGATCTCCTTACGTGAGTGATATTTTTCTATCGGTTCTCTAGTTTAAAAGGTCTGTCCCTTAGCTATAACGTAGGTAGAGCTCCTCCTGTTCCCAGCACCACTGAAGGAACCACTTCAGCATCTACACTGAGAGAAAAGGAGGGAAGACGGCCAGGACTGAGTCAGCGAGCGCCAGCAACGGGTTATGTTCCGGCGCGTGTGCCCGGAGCTGCGGCTGCCCCTTGCTCTCAGTTTAAAGCTGATTCTAGTTTGCCAACTCTGTCTCTGACAAGCGCCATGCAGCACACCAGATCTGTGCTCCATATGGCTGACCGTTGGTCCTTCGGAAAGCTCTCGAGGCGTCTCAAAATTTCAGCCACCCACAGCAGGAGCGCATCGCAGCTGACCCCCCCTCCCCGAGTGCATAACAAGTCAGGAGGGGCAAGGTCTTCTGGGCCCACAACCGGGCCTGTGGGGCTAATGCCAAGCTATTTTCTGGCACCATTTTAATTACTTTTTAAAAAAGAGACCTCACTACTCCATTTCTAACAAACCCTGAGCTCTTGCGAAAGGCAAAAGACAAGCAGGCGTCAGGGAACAATTTGTCCCACAAGGAGACTTCCGGATGAGCCCTATTTCGGACCTCTGGTAACCACTCCTGGACAATTCTATTTGGGTCTAGTGAAAACCATGGGGCACCCAAGAATTCGCAAGAACTTGCCTGCAAAGTCACACCCTTAAAAGGGGGAACAGAAAACAGAAGGACAGTCAACTTCCACCCTTTAACTGGTTTTCCAAAGAGCTTTACACCCTATCAAAGTGACCGGCCGGCTCCTTGGGAAAACACAAATAGGCACTGACGTCAACCCAAAGATTTGTGCTGAATTATTATAAACCAAATTAGTATCTAGGTAATAAATCCCGTTTTGTCAGCTAAGCTGCTGTTTTCCATCTGACCTTTGCAGTCAAATTCAATTTAGAAATCTGATCACCTTGATCACTCCGACTCCCAACAGATTTGCGACTGGACTGCAGTAGAGAAAAGGGCAGTCTTTTATGAAGACTCTTTGATATATGTTGGAAATAGAGGTGGGCATGAATTGCTTTGTGCCGGGTTGTCCCAAGTCACTGACGCGCACTGCTTGTTTCCTCCTCACCTCACAATCTTCCGGTTTCAGCAGAAGCCCGGATTCCCCTTCTCTGCCTCCTTCAGCAGCCACCCACTCCAAGGCTGTGCTGCAGGAATCCCTGGCCTGCCTCCTTGTCCGAGTGGGCGGCTGCCAGAGGAGGCAGAGAAGGGGAGTCTGGGCTTCTGCTGAAACCAGAAGATTTCGTGACAAGGAGGGAACAAGCAGTGTGTGTCAGCTAGCAAGGGTGGGAGCCAGCCTAAGGGCACTTCTGGTGCTGTGCTGACAACTTGAGATGACCCGGCACAAAGAAATTTGTGTCCATCTCTATTTGGAAGGTTTTAGCAAAAGAGGACGGTTTTAAATCATGATGGATTTGCAGAAAACCACACATTCCAGTCTTGGCTTGTGAGCCACAACAGGCCTGAACATGCCCCATTTGTATATAGCAGTTGGCGATGGGATCTTAGGAATGTACTACAATAGCTGCAGTTTGCCATCACTGCTGTTACCCACCTTGTGTCCTCATTGGCAGAGATGGTCCTGAGGTTAGATTAGCCTCCCTCAGCACAGGGCTCGCCTAGATAGTCTGGACTTCCAACTCCTACCACAGCCAATGGCTGCAGCGGTCAGGGATGTCAAGAACTGGAAGCACCCAGATGTGGAGAAGGATGGTTTACAAAAGGAAGCGAAGGGTGACACAAACACACACATCTTGACTACCAGAACCAGCAGGCAAGGGGATTTTCTAAAACGCACATCAGCGGTTTTATTTACAATTAATACAAAAAGAAAGCCCAAACTCTTCTAACATGTTTATCTGCACACTTTATATCTGCCTGAAATCAATTAAGGATGCTATTACATAAAAGCGACTGAGCTGGCCAGGAAACGGTATCAAGTGATCCTTTTGGCAAAGAAATTAAAATCAGGATTTCAGTAAAAGAACGGTTTGGTTACTTTTCACCGAGTGAGCCGAGAGAAACGTAAGACCAAGGAAACAGAAGCATAGGTGGCCATCTTCGGGAGTTGGGCTTTAAAGGGCTGGGCGCCCACCCGCGTGGCGCCGCTACGGAAGCCAAATGCAGAGCCGCAACGGAAAATGGTGACAACTCGAATAGGTCTCCTAGAAAGCTGTTCATCTGAGAGGGCCACACAGCGCTCCCTGAAGGAAATGACACGCCATTTGCGTGGTAAGGACAGAAACAACAAAAAAAGACACACAAGCTACGCCGGGGCAACGCCACAGGCACCTGTGGACAGGGTGGGACAAAACGTGACGGCTAAAAGGACATCCTGAACTCAAAACGGCAACGTTCGCTCCTTACGGACGCAGCGGGGAGGGGGAGGTTGTGGAAAGCGTGTGACAACGGCAGGCGCCCGGGCAACGATGTCGTCCCGCCCCAGGGGTGGCAGGGAAGGGATCCTCTAGAGGCGGCGCTGGTAGTTAGCATGCATCTGCATTTGGGCACTACGCAAATAATCACCATAGGCCCCCGCGTAACAAGCGTAATCGGACTGCATTTCGGGGAGGCGGCGATAATCCAGTTGAGCTTTGGTCGGCGAATGGCGGTACGCATGGGGGGAGTCGGTTAAACGGCGGAAATCTGGGTAGTCAGATAAACGGCGGTCATCTGAGGGGTCAGAATTGTACCTGGTTAAGAGAAGAGACATTTGAGAAAATTAAAAAAGGCTCACGTCCGAGGCTCCAAATAACGCACCCACTGTGATGAAGAATACCTCTTCCTCCCACCGCACCGAAGGGGACCACCAAGATGAAGAGCATCAAAAGGGGGGCTGGAAGACAGCTTCTCCTTTGCAAAACCTGGGCCTACTTCACCTCCTACGTGAGATGGCGCAGAACGCGTCTTAAGGGCCGAGCGGTTCTGGAAAACCCAGGGAAAGCAGCAAAATTTGCTGGGCATTTAATTTTTTTAAAAAATTAAGCTTTCAACCAGAATGTGTCCTAAAGGGAGGGCCAGGTTTCACAACACTACATCCCGTCGTTGTTTCTAAGACAGACATAGGGATCTGTGGGCACATTAAATGCGTTGTTCGAATCTGAACCTGCCGTACCCAGATATAGGAAATTCCCTGTGATTATTTGGGGGAGAAAAAAGGATCTTAATGCCTATTCAGCAGCTTGCCTCATTGCTTATGTTCTGCAGGCGAAGATGGGGCATCAATTTAGCTCTGAGACCACCGTGGTTCAAAAAGGATCCAGCCTCCAAGCACTGAATGAAAATTCAAAGTACCACTGCAAGACTATATTCCATAAAGTGAGTCCACTTTTCCACAGAGCAGAAAAAACATGAAGATGTGAACATGAGGATTTTTTTTCTTCTGTGTCACAGGATCTGACCAGGTAGAGGAGAACCCTTCACACCCCTCCTGTTACCATGGGGAGAAAGGAGGGGTATTCGAATTTGCAAATTAGTTCTCTTCTCCCAAAAGTTTAGTCTCGGTTTTCCTATGAAAAGGATGAACCGGGGGTGGGGGGGGAATGGTAACCCACAGACCATAGAGATTTCCCTTCCCATAAGGAGTAAAGCATAGAAAAGGTCAGAAAGAAGGGCACAAGCAGAGACCCACTCCCAAGACCCCTTTGCTTCCTAACGAGTGCCAATTTAGAGTGCCAGAAGGAAGTATGCCAGTCCTGACGAGAACGGCAGCAGAAGGCGCCTCTGGGTTTCATAAACCACCCAGAGGTTCTTGGATAGAAGGCACAACCAATGCGCAAAGCACGACCGCCGGTTCAGCCGCATACCTCTTATTCATGGCAGCTGCTTTTCGGTAGAGGTCCTCACGACTACCACGTGGCGGGGAGAGGCGAGAGCGGTCGTACGCCGGATGGAGACCCGCGGCCGCTTCCGACTGCAACATGGCTGAAGACTGAGGCATCTGTTGCGCAGACTGAGCCAGCCCGTTGTATGCCGGCTGAGCTCGGTAGCCGGCCGCTAAGGGAACGGAGGCGGACTGCTGTGCCGCATAGGCCGCCTCGGCTGGGGTTCTGTAGGCTGTCGGCATTGAGGCGGAGAGCTGGGCCTTGTAGGAAGCCGCAGCCGCATCCTGCATGCTATAAGCAGCGGCCAGGCTGGCTGCCGACTGGGCCCCGTAGGCAGCTGGCAGGGCCGAGGCGGTGGCCGCTTGGGCCCCGTAGGAAGCGGCATGTCCTACAGCGGGCTGAACGCCATAGGAGGCTGACTGGGCCGAGAGGGCATGGGCGTTGTACAAGGCTGCCTGGTTGGCGGCCGGCTGGGCCCCATAGGAGGCGGAGAGTGCCGCCGCTTGAGCCCCATAGGAAGCGGCATAGGTTGCAGCTGCCTGGGCCCCATAAGCGGCAGCGTACGTTGTGGCGGGCTGGGCCTCGTAAGCAGGGACTTGGGAGGCGGCGGCCTGGGCCCCGTAGGCCGCAGCTGCCTGGGCACTGTAGGAGGTGAGGGCCGAGGCTGCCGGCTGGGCGGCCGAAGTTCCCATGGGAACAGAGGACTGGGCTCTATAGGCATTGTTAAGCATGGCGGAGGGCTGGGCTCTGTACATGGCTGCCTGACCCGTCGTCGGCTGGGGTCGATAGGCCATCCCAAGCGAGGCGGAAGTCTGGTCTCGGTAAGGTGTTCCTAGGGAGGCCGACGGCTGGTCTCTGTACGATGCCTGCTGGCCTGTCACAGGGAGCGCGTAGCCAGCTCTCGAGGGCGAGCGTCTGAGAGGGCTCCTGTCCCTTCCAAAGTAAGACGGGGAGATCTGCCTGGCCTGAGCGTCCTGGGTTAAACTGGCGTTCCCCAGACGCTGATAGTCATATTCCAGGGAAGAATAAGCCGCCGTGGCCATGGGGAATGCAAGATTACCCGCTCTCATAGCATCATTCACGGGCTGGAGTTTCTCTAGAGTCGGTATTTTGTTCTTTTCCGCTCCGCCGCCCAGCTGGCCCCCGAGCCCGGCGGGCCCCCTTTTATGAGCTTTATTAGAGAGTTCCACATTAATTCGTTTTCCTTTGACTTCCCTTCCATTAAGGTGTTCAATGGCGGCTCTAGCATCCTCGTCCTTCTCCATGTGAACGAACGCATAGTCTGATAAAGCAGTAGACAGAAGATTATCAGCAAGGGATACATCACATTTTATTCCTGGAACCCACTGCACTGCTACTTGGATTTGGCCCGGACACAGTTAAAAGGCTCAAACAGCAGCATGTCTGAATGCTAGCCGGACAATGCACGCCATGCGCCCTCAGTGGGTTGTTCTGCCTCTCTTTCACAAAGAACAGGCTAGCGGCACCCAGAAAAACACAAGGTACCCATCACTGCCCCTAACAGCTGAAGGCTAAGCAGTAGGCTCCCCCGTCCTGCCCCCCCGCACACACCACCTTTGCTATAAGACGCATGCCCACGTCTGGCTCAGGATTCTCCAGAGAGACAAAACATACCAAACTAATGGGGCTGAAGAGGTCGATGACTTCCAAGTAAAAACATACCAAACTAATGGGGCTGAAGAGGCCGACGACTCCCAAGTAACTGCTGTGTACATCACAGTGCAACGCCGGGTCCTGTAATTTTTCTGGCACACTCAGAAAAGAGCATCTGAACATCCTAAAGCAGCATCGTTTCGTTCATCGGTCAAACAGCCCCCAACTCTTTCACATCAATGGCTCAAGACTCTCTCTTACATTTACACACACTTAAACACACACACAGAGGCGGAAGTACATTTGGCATTTTGAAGCATTCTGTGCTTCCTTTGGCTCTTGTAATTCATGCCCCACACTATCTTTACATGCAAATGTTGTCACGTTCTGCTAATATTACTAGTTCTTCCCCAGTCCAGTGAGCACAGACAACAGTTGTCATGGCCTCTTTGCAAACTTTGGGGGTGGGTGGGGGTGGACCAGGCCAATGCAACTCTACTTCTGCCTGCTTTGAGCAGTTGGTTCTAACAAGGGAAGAAGCAATACATGAAAGGTGCTTTTTAGGCCACAACAGCAGTTGGCCACGGGTGGGCAGGCTAATATACCACATTGTGCCAAGAGGAAATACAAAGCAGTATATCTAATGGTTCATTCTGTGCAAGCATTTTTTTCTTCCACATAAAAACAAATTCTCAACCAAGGAACATCCTTCTGGTTATTTTTTAAAAACAACCGAAATGGTTCAGCATGATCTTCGCCAAGGTATGAAAGGGTGGACATACGCCACACATGGGCAAGGCTAAAAAAATGCATTTAAGCAACACATGTTTAACAGTGAGGACTCCTTAGACAATGCATATATACTGTACTTTGCCTATATGCACAGTGGGCTTCATGCCCTATTAGGGGCCTGAAAACTTACCCACTAAGTTTTGACTATACTTTGAACAATTTTTTCGGAGGTCAACTTTTTTAGTGTTTTGGGGGCATCGATACATACTTAAGAGTAAAGTAAAATTCCTAAAGAAGACCCAGAAGGGATTCATTACATAGGAAAGGATTTGATCCCCCCCAAAATATGCTTCATTCCAACTACTATTTTAAAAAGTATCTTCAGATTTGTTGGCGTCTAACTATAAATCTGGAAGAAAGATGAGCCTCCCAAACTGCAAACGTGGGGAAAGTGATTCACTAAAGGATACATGGGCATGTTTCACAAATATCAAACCAGGCTGCCTTAGCACAGACAGGTGAGCCCATGAACAATAGGGTATCTGAGGCACATCGACATACGCCTACTTTAAAGCATGGAGTAAATGAAGGGGACTTTCCTGCCTAGGCAGACCGCACAGCCTGTTTACAAGTAATGGTAGACGCAGATGATTAAACCACAGTGTGAACAAGTGGCGCACGCAGCCCTTGGTCCCACTCTTCTCCCTCCTTGGCAAAAGGGTGGTTTAAATGTCTGCCTATGATCCAGCTTTAGAATAAGCCATACCACTGGGCCTCGATGTCATGAAGCAGATATTGAAAACAAATACTTCTGCCTTATACCCAAGGTGGGAACATGGCTCGGAAGAACAAGCAGCAGCTATGACGGCTACTGCTGGGGACCTTTCTGAGGATGGTGAGAGGCATCAGCCGCCTTCTAAAATAGACTTCTTTTTTTCTGCTCCAAGAAGGCCCATTCTTGCCGCCACTCAACAGGAAGGGCACTCTGCACATGCCTAAAGGCCACCGGTCCCCTTTGCTCGATGGAAATCATATACTCCTATAAAATGGACCAGAGAATCTCACTAAGGGCAGGCTTATCATCAGCCACTTAGTTGGACCATCCACCATTTAATCAGGGACTCCTCCAGCATTCCGGGGCAGACCTCCTGCTTAAGGGTCTCCCTCTCTCAACAGCCAATGTGAGGGCTAAGACGGAGACGCCAGACAACTTTCTTGTGCTTTACCTCTAAGAGCTCCATGCCTTCCTGAATGTTATAGCTCCAATCCAGTGCCTAAAAACGAGGTCCCTCCCTGTGGCACAGAGGTTAAACTGCAGTACAACAGTCATGACTCTGCTTGCCACCTGAGTTTGATTTCGGCGGCCTCAGGTGTGCTGGCGCGAGATTGTCTTAGTCTTCCGTCCTTTCGAGGTTGGTAAACTGAGTATCCAGCTCACTGGGGAGAAGGGGGGAGCGGAGGTGTAGCCTGCGCAATTAAATTGTAAACTGCCCACTAAGTGCTGTCGGCTGTTATATTTTATTTATTTATTGGACTTATATACCGCCCCATAGCGCTACAAGCACTCTCCGGGCGGTTTACAATTTTTAATTATACAGGCTACACATTGCCCCCCCCCCAGCAAGCTAAATAAATAATAGTAATAAATGTCTGTATTAATTTTCTTTTCTCCAGACACCCACTCTCTATTTCTCCGGCATGCCCTGTATATGTTCTGTTAAGCTGCAGCAGCAATTCTTTTCAACTTAAAAGAGTCGGGTTTCGATGGCAGAAAAACACTTTTAAATCAGCCATTCCCAAAGATGATGATGATGATGATGATTTTGGCCATGGCCATAAACCCTATAGGAAAGAAATACTGTATAGGCCGATTCAGAGTGGTGTAAAGTCAGGGGTCGGGGCGTTAACCACCCCAGTCTGTGGGCTTGCCGGAACTGGGCCGCGGATACAGATTTCAGTCCCCCGCACACGCATGGTGGGGTGTATCATGCCCATGGGGCGGGGGCGTCATGCTCACACGCGCAACAACCCCCCAGGAGCAGGAGACACGCATTGCGTGTGCGTGACGTGCCCCCAGCCCATCCCCCCTATGCATGGAACTCGCTCCCCCCAGCCTGTCTGCAGCCCCCAAAAAGGTTGGGGGGCTGCTGGTGTAAGTCATGCTAATGAACCTTTTAAGGTGGTGGGTGAAGAATTATTTCCAGTCTACTTCAGGAGTTCCCAGGATATCCTTCATCCCCCGGCTTGAGAATGGCTGCTTTCAATACTTGTCAAAGGCGGAAACTCCTAATTGAGAGAATTTTTTAAAAACCACCACCACCACCTCCCTACTTTCTAATACAGCAGGGCTGCGATATCCAGTTCGAAGCCCTCTGTGGAGGTCCAAAAAGCACAAGTACAGAAAGGCTGTGTGTGTATATACCACAGTCCCTTATCGTCTTGTTCTTTTTTTTAACCACTTTTTAATCCAATACTTCTTCAACGCTTCTTCAATATTTGCATACTTACTTTTTTTAAAACTTTTCCCCCTTTTTAAAACTGTCTTTATTCACATTGTTATATTATTGTTGTAAGCCGCCGAGAGGGGTCTTAATCGACTAGATAGGCGGGATATAAATTAAATAAATAAATAAATGGTTGTAAGCCGCCTTGGGTCCTTTTGAGGAGAAAGGTGGGGGTGGGTGGGTGTACAAATATTTTAAACAAACAAAGACGAACAAGCAAGGCTGTCCCTCTCAGGGGCAGTTCTGGAAAACCCATCTTAGAAACCAGTGTTTCTTTTTTTGGGGGGGGGGTGAGGTGAGTTGCATCGTTTCAGTCCGCGGTTAAGTGAAACCGCGGGTCCTGATCCTGCGCGGATAAGGCGGCCCTACTTGTCTTTGAAATGCACCTAACAACCGTGTCTCTTACTTTTCTGAGGCGAAAAAGGCTCGCTTGTCAAGGCGGCCTGGCGGGCGGGTCCCTGGGAGGCCAGCCATCCATCCATCCATCCCGCCTGCCTGCCCGGCCTTCCTCCTCCTTCCTCCTCCTCCTCCTCCTCCTCCTCCGGCGGTACCTTTGACAATGTCGCACTCGACGACGGAGCCGAACTCCTGGAAGAGGGTGCGGAGCTCCCCGCTGGTGCAGGCGGCCGAGACGTTGCCGACGAAGATCTTGACGGTGTGGGTGGGCCTGGGCCGCGAGTGCTCGACCACCACCCGGTGCCCGTGGAGGAGCTGCCCGTTGAGCTGCAGGATGGCCCGGTCGGCCGCCGCCTCGTCGCGCATGTGGACGAAGGCGAACTGCTTCATGAGGGCCCCCTTCAGCACCTGGCCCGGCTCGGCCGCCTCGAACAGGTCGCGCAGCTCCCCTTGCGACGTCTCCTCGGGCACGTTGCCCACGAACACTTTCGCCCCCGAGTGCATCGGCCCGGCCCCGGCCCCGCCGCCACCGGAGGAGGAGGACGAGGAGACGACGACGACGACGACAAAGGAGACGACCCGAGCGCCCACAAAATGGCGGCCGCTGCCTCCGAGAAGGGAAGCCTCCCCACCCAGCGGGGCCAAGGAGCCGCGCCTGCGCGTTGGGCCGGAACCTCCCCTTCGGGCATGCGCGTGGGCCTCCCCACGCCGCCGGGTCCTTCTCGAGCATGCGCACCCGCCTACTTCCGACACGCCTCCGAGCGCGCACAAAATGGCTCACCTAAAAACGGACGAGCTGCGCACGCGCACTGGGCCAGCGGGGCCCCTTGGGATATGTGCCTTGGGCCGATGCCACAGCTTTCTCGAGAAGGCTCGCCGAGCTACCTACGTCACGCCTCTGAGCATGCGCGCTGGTACTCCGTCTCCTTCCGCGCATGCCCTTTACAATTCCGGCGGATCTCCTAATGGCTTTTATAATGGCGCTCTCCGACTGCTACGCGGGCATAGTGACAAATTTAGGCGGATAAGATACATATGACTGACGACCCAGCGTAGTTTATTTGCCTTACTCTATCACAAAGATTAGGTCCTAATCGTTGCACATCAACTGACTGAATATATTACCTGATGGCTTAAGTTACTTGTAACTAATTACTTTTGAACAAGGAGGAACGTCCCGAGTAAACATGTTACTTCGAAACATGGTAATTCCCACCTATATTACTTAAGTATATCAAGAGATGGCTAATGGTACTTTTAAAGGGCTTTTCCACAGGGTTTATGGCAACTGTCCTAAGTGACCAGGAAAGTACTGCAGTTCTGTTTTATCTTGTATTTCAAGGGTACAAGATCAAAACTGGGCACTAGAGGGAACCAGAGAGTTTATAAATGAAGAGAATGAAGGAATGATAGGTACATAGCCGTAGGGTGCTTCTAACCCAGGCAAAGGGTAAAAACATAAAATTCTTGCATCAACTGACAATTTCTGGAACCTTGGGATTACTCGACCAAAGATAAAAGCAGGAAGTCGGTCCTTCTTAAAAATGCAGCCACAAACCTGTGATCATTTGGCAACACTTGCACTAATTCAAAAGACGGGACTCTGTTGCTCCTATACTAACAACTCACCTGGAACGGCATGCCCATTTTGCTTGTAGGCAGAGGGAGTATTCTCCACCTATCATGACGGTTGAGTCTTTGTCATTTAAGCGGATTGCGTTGAACCACCTTGTGCATATGGTACATATAAAAAGCACACCAAGAGACTGCAGCCAGTCTTGAGATGCTCTTCAGCATAGCACAGAAAATCTGTCACGTTCCACTGAATTAAAGCAAATGTGTATGGAATTTAGAGAATTTTTGTGTGTGTTGGGAAACATAGACATCACTCAAGGACAGGACTGGGTAGTGCATGTAAGGGCAACAAATAGTCACAAAGAATTTTGTGTGTGTTGGTTGTTGTAGATTTTTCGGGCTGTCTGGCCATGTCTCGGAGGTTTTGCTCCCTCACATTTCAGCATCAGAGGCTCGCAAGATGTTAGGAAGAAAAACCTCCAGAACAAAGTCTTTGGAGACATTACGTGGATGTGAAATGAGGCAGAGAAGGAATGGGTAGTGATTTTCAAAGAGATAAAGGGAAATATGAGCATTGCTACACAAAGCTGTCAATGACAGCCTTGCTAAATGTTTGGAGATAACCAACTAGTATGGGGGGAAAGGAGCTAATGATTATTATGCTAAAATGCCTTTCAGGTTCAGCAAGATTCTCAGACTGTTCCATCAGAGAGGGACAGAGAGAGATTTCCCTTTGGCTTCTCCTTCTGGTGTAATCGCAAAAAAGCCAGCCGCCTCCAACCTTGTGCTGTCGCGTTTTCTCCAAACTTTTACAGCAGCGGCACTGAATCAACTCAAATCTTCTCCCTAATCTCAATCGTGTATTTTTCCACCCTCCTTGCTTTACCTCAGGTTGTAAGATTTTGTGGTTTTATTTTTCCTGTGTGGAAATGTACGCAGTTTTTTTTGGTATGCCATTTAAAATGTTTTATTCTTAACCTAAACTTCTCGCATATAGTTCACCCACCAACTCAAACCTATTTGTGCACATCCATTGCCTTCTAGACCATGAACCGGACAAGTTCATGAATAGCGTCCTGAGGAATATTTAATTCCAAGAACACCCAGTGATGTTACGGACTGAAGAATGAAGACAATGTGTGCGCCATTGATCCTTGAACTCAGAACTCCGGGGCAGCCCCAGACAGCTAGCATCATGACGGCCTGATGCAATTAATTGCAGAGAATGCAAAAAAGCAGCTGTTGGGAAAAGACACCAAGCTAAGCACTGCTGGTATGGGAGATCTCAAATTCTAACCAAGGTTTATGGTTCCTGAGCCGATCGGCAAGCTTCCTGGGACCACCCATACAGTTGGAAGGAGACTCTAAGGCCATCGAATCCACCCCCCCTGCTCAAGGCAGGAATCAAAGTCAAAGCAGATTTGACAGAGGGTGGTCCAATTTCCCCTGAAGGTGTCAGCCGATCGGCAAGCTTCCTGGGACCACCCGCTTTTCTCAAGCAATCCATTCCAAGTTTGCGTGACAATGTCGGCGAGGTACTCACCACAATCTCAGGGAAATACCAGAGAGTGCCAGGAGCCAAGAAAAAGGCGTATCCTTTTCAAGCTTCTGAGAGGAGATGAAGCCTGCCAAGCTTAGACAGGCCAAAAGGAATATAAGGTTCCCCTTGAGTTTCAGATGACGTTGTTTGTTGAGAACCATACAATACTGTAATACAGTTGGAAGGAGACTCTAAGGCCATCGAATCCACCCCCCCTGCTCAAGGCAGGAATCAAAGTCAAAGCAGATTTGACAGAGAGTGGTCCAATTTCCCCTGAAGGTGTCCAAACGTTGGGAGCGCTCACCACCTCCTGAGGTCATGGGCCCCGTTATCGTACTGCTCTAACCGTTAAGAAGTTTTTTTCTGAGGAAGTTGAGATATCTGAGACAGTGGGCTCCCAATGTGGGCCTGAACCACATTCACTCTCGCTCCCTTTCAATCAATCCAAACTGAGGTGACGTGTGTTCAGAACCAGCGCGTAGGCATGGAAATCATTTGGACAAGGGCTAAGGTGTTGTTCAAGATGCTGCAGAGAGTTACCTGCAGTGTCTTCCAGACTCAACATTAACAGTTCAAGGCACCGGTATTGATATAAAGGCTTAAATGGCTTGAGACGAGAAGTTCATCTATTCCAGTGTTTCCCAGCCTGACGGTCGTGACCCCCAAGGTGACTGAAAAGTGTTTTCGGGGCTAAGGTGTTGTTCAAGATGCTGCAGAAAGTTGGACTCCTCTTAAAAAATCACTTTGGAAGGCCTCTTCCATCCAGCTCAGCCACTGGAACAATTGGTTCATTGTGCATTTCATCACCTGGGCCTTTCCTATTTCTACTGAAATTGCACACATCGCAAGAGTTGGTCAAGGCCCAGCAAGCTTGCTCCCCGCTTGGATGACTGCCCATCTTTTACATTTGGGGGGTTTTGAGAGTGTTCAGTTGTTCCAAAAGAGGGATCAAAATAAATGTTGACTAGCTATTAAGAACGTTGATGCTAATACTGACTTACCTGCAGGGTCTTCCAGACTCAACATTTTTAACAGTTCAAGGCACCGGTATTGATATAAAAGCTTAAATGGCTTGAGACAAGAAGTTGTTCATCTATTCCAGTGTTTCCCAGCGTGACGGTCATGACCCCCCAAGGTGGCTGGAAAGCGTTTTCGGTGTGTGTGTGTGTGTGTGTTGCAGGTCACTTTATAGATATTGTAGGTGCAATGCAATGATGTATGGGTACGTATGAAAAACAGACCCTTTGGGGAAGAAAGCAGCTTTGACTTTCTGAAAAGGGATGACTGGGATTATTTTTTTAAACCAACAAAATAAAAATAACAGGAGGAATGCCAGTGGGAGTATATAACTGTTGCCACGTCTACAAGAGAGAGGATTTTAGCTAAGATGCGTCACTTCTGGAGACTCTAAAGACGGGGAGGGTACGTATGAAAAACAGACCCTTTGGGGAAGAAAGCAGCTTTGACTTTCTGAAAAGGGATGACTGGGATTATTTTTTTAAACCAACAAAATAAAAATAACAGGAGGAATGCCAGTGGGAGTATATAACTGTTGCCACGTCTACAAGAGAGAGGATTTTAGCTAAGATGCGTCACTTCTGGAGACTCTAAAGACGGGGAGGGAAAGGAAAAAGAAGAAAAAAATGGCACACACTCTCCAAACTCCCAGGAGGGGAAGAAGGGGAGGAAAAGGAAAAAGAAAAAAAAGGCACACATTCTCCGAACTCCCAGGAGGGACACACACAGACAGCCCGCCTCTTTTGCAGTGGATATGAAGAAAGCATTGTGCCAGTTTCCGAAGGGGATCCTCTTGGTGCAAAGGTTCTGCCCTCTTGTGGGGCGCCACCATGTTCCTCTGCCTCCTGGCCCATCTCTGAATTCCTTTGCCTTCTCTTCCCCCTAGATTTAACTCTCCCTTCCCGATTATGAAGGGGTGGCAGCGGAATTAGTGGACGGAGCAGCAGGAGGGTGAGCAGCATCAGCATCGAGGGTGCCACCACGCCAGAGAACGACGCTGACGACAGTCCCCGTGGCTCTCGCTACACGGCAGTTTGTGCTTCTTCGCATCGAAACAGACCAAATGTTGAGAACGACATGAGAATTTTAAAGGTGGCTGGAACAGATGCAAGGACCACCAGCCATTAAATATTGGGTTAGAATTATATTCTGAAAAATGCATTAAAATATAATAAAAATGCCTTTTTATGCAGATGTATCGGGGGAGGGAGATCACAGGTCACTTGGCTATTATAAAAGAGGTTTGCGACTTGGGGACAACTGATCTATTCCCCATGTAACTATACAGACCTTAAGATGATCTTCTAAGATCGCCGTCTCTAGATCTGTTGGCCAAATGGAAGTTTTTTGTCCCTGAGGCTGCCCTGGTTGCGAAACGCCCTCTGAGGCATGCTTGATGGCCAGTTTTGAGTTATCTCTTTTGTCATGACAGGGCAGGACCTTTGGGCGACAAAGAGGTTGTGGTCCAGAGAACCAGCGAGGGTAAGAAAGCCAAATACCACACGGCAGTGCAGTTTCATAAATGACAGAGGAAAAGTCATCTCTTGCCACTCTAACCCCATTATTTTCTTTGGAAACTATACAATAAAGATTTTGTTAAAAAAATTAATCATTCCAGTGCCTGTCTGTTGTTACCTTTATTGTTGATTTACACTCACTCTGGCAATTCGCATTTTGCCCTTTTAATTATGAAAACTGTCCCGGAAACAAATGTTGACAATGTCCTTATTACGATAAAACTAGTAGATGCTTAATACCAACAAAGAATCCAAACAAAATGTGCTACTAGAAGCGTCTTTAGGACAATTAATACGCTTAATCAAGGCATCCTGCATTCCACAACTGTGAGGGCTTTGCAGGGCCCTCCCAAACGGTGTCTGTTTCATCTGCAGCTCGGTTTAAACGTAAAATACGGAAGCATCGCTCTGTTCTGTCACATGTGATACACCTTCTATCTTAGGGAATAGTAACCACTTCCCATTTTGGACTCCTGAACTAAACCATTTTTGCCTGCAGGATCCGCACCGAGAAAAGTAGGAACTGTTTGCGCTAATGTACTGGATCCAGCATTGTCTTTTCTATTTAAAAACTATTTTTTGGGGGGGAGGGTGACCACTTTGGACATGTGCGCAAACATAAAAGGAGAAGTGGGAAGACAGACTAACAAGACAAGGGGATTTTGTAAAACGACAGTCAGCCCTTGGTTTTATTTACAATACAAAATACGAATCAATCTGAATGCATTGCGAACACAACATTTTACTTGTATACTGAGTAGAGGGATAAATTCATGAAGGATGCTCTTCAAAGGAGCTGACCAGATTCTATCAGCAAAGATATTAAAGCAAAGGTTTCAATTAAAGAACAGTTCTTTTTCGCATACAAAAATAAACCAAGGAACCAACATCCCTGTATTGTTCACCATGTGGTTTTCTTTGACCAGGAATCTTGGTTTAAAATTGCCCAAGCATGGAAACTCAATTAAAACTAAGATGGTGACTCAAAACGATTCTTGCAGGAAACGGTTCATCTCGGACCTCTCTTTGTCTCATGAAAAGTACATAACACGTCTTTTACATGTCAGAGAAGAAAACAGAAGAGGAGACACAGGCGAGAGGGACCAGCTGCTGTTGGTAACTCATGGTAAAGAATGGGAGGGAATATATCAAGCCAAATAATATCTTGAAATCAAATGCCAAGGATGATGCTGCAGCAGCTGGGATTAAGTGAAGTGGACGGCAACAACAAGCACCAGAACGGGGACCCAGTCTGATCGCAAGAGAAAGTGGGGGGGTGAGGAGGAATCCCCTCCAATGGAATGGGTCCCTAGTACATTGCTGTGAACAAAGGAAGTAAAAATGACCACGGGCACCACCATACGGGATATAATCAGACTATATTTCTGGGAGATGGCAATAATCCACTTTCGGCTTTGTCCGCAAACCTCACGAGGCCCAGGGGTGGTGGTGGTGGTGTGCTGAGCAGTGGAAATCTCACATATCCTACAGATGTCTCACAGGTCATCTGTAGCAAGAATTGCACCTAGTCAAGAGAAGAGACATTATATTAATATTTTTGAAAGTTCACAGCTGATGCTCCAATGTACGTGGTACGAGAGAGGAGGCCTTGCCGATCCTGCTGCACAAGAGAGAACTACAGAGATATACGGATAGAAACGAGCCCCAAAGACCAATTCAAAGGGCAATCCCCTGATGACTAATTAAAGGACCAATCTTCTATTATCGTGTCTGCAAGAACTGGGGCAGCGTAATCTTTGTGCCTGATGGTGCGGGAAGTCTGCTGGCGGTTTAATCACTCTGTAAAATGCAAGGCATAGAATGCAAGACCATACTCGCCGAGTGTTTAAGCAGAATGTTTAACTTTTCAACGAATCAACCACTGAAATGAGCCTGATGTGTCACAATACTAGAGCTTTTTTCCCCAAGAAGAAAGATACGAAGGCTTAGTTAACCTAAGTCAAATGGCCACCACAAATTCCATTGTCCTAGGTGTAATGTACCACGCTAAACAACACTAAACCCGTCTAATCTGATAGGATCCCAGGAAGTTCAAGTAACTCCTTGAAATGAGAATAACTCCAGCACTATGATTGTGTTTTCATTTCCAGGGGCTCAAACGATACAACCCCTATTTGCAATCTCAGTCAAAGAGACTTAGATAGACAGGATCTAGTCTGTCCTTCCACACATCCTGCCGCTAAGGGGACGTCCGTTCCCATCATTGTTATTCTCATAAACACTTCTGCCCATTTATTAAAATCAATATGCAGATCAGAGAAGTGGCAGGGTGGCGCCCATACTCTCTCCCCTCAGCTAAAACAAGACAAAGTCTAGAACTGCTAGACAGCTCAGTGGTTTAGCGATCTGTCTGCAAGCCAGTGCCCCTATTTGCAATCTCAGTCAAAGAGACTAAGATAGGATCGAGTCCGTCCTTCCACACATCCTGCTGCTAAGGGGACGTCCGTTCCTAGGGACTATCATCGTTATTCTCATAAACACTTCTGCCCAGTTATTCAAATCAATATGCAGATTAGAGTTAGCGATCTGTCTGCAAGCCAGCGCCTGGGAGTCCGATTCCCTCCGCGGGGCCTCCTGGGAGAACAGCCAGCCTGAGTGGCCTTGGGCCAACTGCACAGTCCCAGGACAACCCAGAAGAGCCATCCTGGGTGGCCTTGGGCCAACCGCACTGACCCAGGACAACCTCAGGAAGGAAATGGGAAATCATTTCTGACTACTCCCTACTATAAAAAGCCTAGAAAGGATTGTCAGAAGTCCAGATTGACTTGACGACCTGTCCCCAATCAATTACGCAATGTTTCAGGCGATAAAAAAGAATTAAGTCCTGGCTAGCACCCTCAATGGTCAAGAGATTGCAGAAGCAGTCCTATACATGTGGAGTACATCGGGATGTTCTAAGCTTTGCTTTCGAGTATCAGCAAGAACTCTGCCATTTCTGAGGAACGGCAGAATGACGGCTCGTTCAGATCCTTCTGAAACCAGAGAGAAATCTTTGGAAAGATGTGATCGAATAAGCAGAGCAGAACCACCCCCTTGCTGCCTACTCTTATTCAACCGCATACCTCTTATTCATCACGGCTCCTCTTAGCGCTGTGGTTGCTGCGAGGCGGAGAGAGGCGTACACGCTCATAGGGTCGACGGAGAGGAGCGGCTTCGGCCTCGGCCGCATACCTCAGCTTGGCTGCGCTACCTCCTCTGTAGAAATCGTCATGGCTGATACGAGGTGGGGAGAGGCGAACGTGTTCGTATAGCTGATGGAGAGCAGCCGACCCTGACTTAGGGGCATACTGCTTATTTGCTGCACTGAATTCTCTGTAGTAATCATCATGGGTGGTACGGGGTGGGGAGAGGCGAACACGCTCATACGGCAAACGGTGGGCCGCCGTTTGTGACTGCGATGCCCCTAAAGATGAAGCCGCCTGCGGCGCAGGTTGCATCGGGCCGCTGTGCGCTGGCTGAGCTCTGTAACCCGATGCTAAGGAAACTTTACTAGGCAGCTGTCCTGCATAGTTTGTGTCCACTGATCCTCTGTCACGCGTTGACAGGGAATCAGAGAGCTGTGCCTTGTAGGAAGTCGCGTGCCCCCCTGGCTTATTACGGGTAGCTTCAGCCCCATACGAAGGGCCGTAGGACATGGACTGCGCAGAGAAAGAGTGGCCACTGGACGCACCGTATGCCAGGTCATCCTCGTAAGATTTCAGGAGAGGATCCGAAGGCCTGGTGGGCTGGGCCTCATACGAGGGATCGCGGGAAGAGGCCATCTTGACACCGTAAGATGTTCGTCCTGAGGATGCTGGTGGTCTATACTCCATCTCATGCGATGCTGAAGGCTGATCTCGGTAGGGCGGGGGTTGGTTTTTGTTCCTTCTGCCCTCCTCCTCCTCCTCGAAACCAGGAGCCCTCTTATGAACTCTAGAGGCTTCTACAACAATTCTCCTGCCTTTGACTTCCATTCCATTGAGGTGTTCAATGGCGGCTCTGCCATCCTCTTCATTCACCATATGAACGAACGCGTAGTCTAATAAAGCAGCAGACAGAAGGTTATCAGCAAGGGAGACACTCTTATTTGGACTTGGCCCCCAAACAATGAAAAGTCTTAACCATGATACAGTGGTGCCCCACATAGCGAGCGCCCCGTTTAACGATGAATCCGAATAGCGATGCGGATTTTGCGATCGCAAAAGCGATCGCATTGCGATGATCAGTAAGCGTTTTGCTTACCGATCTCCGCAGTGCGATGTTTTTTAAACAGCTGATCGGTGGTTCCAAAATGGCCACCCGCAGTGTTCTCGTGCGATTTCCTCGCTTACCGGGCGGTGAAAATGGCGGCCGTATGGAGGATTTCTGCATAGCGGTGAGTTTATCCCCCCAATGGAACGCATTAAACAGGGTTTAATGCGTTCTTATGGGGTTTTCCGTTCCGTATAGCGATGATTCCGGATAGCGACATTTTTCCTGGAACGGATTAATGTCGCTATGCGGGGCACCACTGTACTAAAAGCAACAGAGTCTACTGGAGGAGGTCAGTCTGCAATTCTAAGGAGAAATCAACATGAAGGAAGAGGCCTAGAGATGGGAAAATCCAGAGAAAAGGAAAGGAATTGGGTAGAAGGAAGATTCCAGCCTCCCCCTTTCTAGTCTCAAAAATATTTCAATTCTTCCAAAGGATAAATTGCAACATTTGGGAAAACTGGGGGGGGGGGAACCTCACACGAAATATTTTTTTAACTGATTTATTTGATGGTTGATTGATTATGTGTGATGCTTCCTTTCACTGCATTTTGTTTTATTTTACCGTTGTCTCACTCTGGATGCAAACCATCCAGAGTAGTGTCTGCCACTAACTGGCAAGTTTAATTAATACATAAAGTTTGAGGCAAGATTTTACTCATTTAAAATGGCAGGAAATGGGCGGTATGATTGTTGTGTGTGAGACAGTCGACCAAATTAGAGAACGATTCTTCCTGTGTAGGGCATCAGGGGCTGGGGAGTGCCTGGCTTTGGATTCCCTCCTGTGCACTGGGAGAAGGGCCACGTGGGGCGACCCACGCTGTGTGACCAATGGGGATCCACCGCTGACTTTGGTCGCTGTAGCAACCTGTGCAGGTGCAGGAAGCCTTTGAGTGGTGTACCAATTAATAATGTTGATTATCCCTGCTTGCCACGTTCTAGTGTCTTGTAGATTTATACTTTTGATTGTTCCCACTTATCATTGTTCCAGGTTTTTTTATTTATTAGATGACTGCTGTTATGCTTGCTTATATTGCTTTATTTTTTTAAGATATCATTTGTGATTTATTTTATGTTCATGTTACTTTGGATGTAAACTGTCCGGAGTAACTCCCGGCACTAATCAATGCGGTATATGAGTGTAATAAATAAAGATATGCCAAACGGTACAATTTCATTTGGTAGGCTACGAACGAAGCATTTTATGTTCCTAAAAAGCAGGTTCGATCTGAAAGTATATACGCCATATATTTCAACCCCAACCCCCTTTGTTTTCCATTTTATTTTGAGGGAGCAGAAAAGCTCATGTGTCTGGTTATTATATAGCTTCAACATTTCTGGAAATTCACATCACTAAAGAAGCCCACTGGAAACTAGCAGGACTCAAGGTAAGCGCTATCTGTCTGAAAACGTTGAATGGTAAGCATCAGATTCGCCCCTTCGTGCCCCATGGGTCACATACAATGCTTGCTGGAAGCGAAGTCTGCCCATGTGGATCATCATAGTTCCTAGATTGCCAAAGTGTATCAGGTCATTTCCACGCCACCTCATTTCTTTCTTCAACAAGCCTCTCAGTGGATGCTGGAAACCCACAGATAATATCAAAATATCAAAGCCCCCCATCTTTGTAGATATATAGATACAGATATAGACAATGGTTGAAAGTCTTTGTTTTTCCTTTCTTGGCAAAACAATATACTCTTGCAATCTTAAGAAACAAAGCAGATCAACTTGGGGGCCTCTCTTCCACGTCCCACTTAATGACAGAAACGGGGCCAGAGCAGCCCCGATCTGTATATGGCATGGTACAACGCCAGGCCCAGTAATCTTCTGGCAGACTCAGAAAAACTGTGAAAGGCATGTCTGATGCTCCTTGTCCCAGTGGTTCCGGCAACGCCTTGTCATTCAGGATTCAAACAGCAAACCAGCCCTTCAAGGCACACAGCGGTGTGAATGCATTCAGCCAAAGAGAACCAAGTCACCACTTTCGGAAACCACACCTCTGGATAGACGGGCCTCTTGCCATAGCTAATAACTAAGGTAGGAATGCCAATATATATCAGCCTGAAAGCACAAGAAAGGCAAGCAGGTTCAGTTAGATAGAGATAATGTTCTTCCCCCATCGCTCCCTTCCCCATGGTAGCAGATCTTTTTTCGGGGGGGGGGGGGAGGTGCGATGCGAACGAATGCCATCAACGATATCCTCCAGCCATCTTTCCCAAGTGCATGGTTACTTTTCACATTTCCCACATTACATTTATCCTGACATACTGTACTTAAGGTGGGAAAGAAGAAGAGTCCCTTCAGGACGGCATCACCTGAACAGGCCTTTATTCCTGGTGGATCTGCATTCCCTTTGAAGGACCATATTCCAAGGCTGGGAATATTCCGTGGTAGCACTGGTCATTTGAAGCAAAGGGGTCCTGGCTCTGAAAAGGTACCTCCTTTGAGTTGTGTCATGTCCAACCTAATTCAGGAAGCTGCTGTTTACCATTAATGGTCTATGTGGCCTAAAATCCCGGCAACTATCACCGGATCAACCTAATATTAAAGTCTTCTACTAAAGTTATAAGGGATGATGTGGCCTAAAATCCCGGCAACTATCACCAGATCAACCTGCAAAATATTAAAGTCTTCTACTAAAGCTATAAGGGATGTGGTGGTGCTGTGGGTTAAACTGCAGAAGCCTCTGTGCTGCAAGATCAGAAGACCAACCGTCGTAAGATCAAATCCACGCGATGGAGTGAGCCCCTGTCGCTCGTCCCAGCTCCTGCCAACCTAGCCGTTCGAAAGCATGGAAAGTTGCAAGTAGATAAATAGGTACCACCAAGGTGGGAAGGTCACGGCGTTCTGTGTCTAGTCTCGCTGACCACGTGACCACGGAAACGGTCTTCGGACAAAACTCTGGCTTGGAGACTGGGATGACCACCATGCCCTAGAGATGGACACGACTGGACTATATGTCAAGGAGAACCTTTATCTTTTTTATTAAAGCTATTTTCCAGATATTGCTCATGGTGAAAGAGTGAAGTGAGTGGTAACCAGAGAGGCAATTATTGCATTCCTCCTACACAGTTATACAACGATTACTGACATCTACAGCTACTTTTAATGTACAGGCAAAAGCAACATTCCATATACTTTGTTTAACATGGATAACTCTGTCATGACTTTTAATGGGTCATTTCACTGTCTGTTTTTTAAATGTGAGCGTTTTATACTGGCATTTGTTTTTACCTAGGAAAGGACTATTCTAGAATTCTATTTTTTGCATTGAAAACTATTTCACCGCATTGATGAAAGGAAATTGGTTTCAACAAATGATTTGACAGCAAGTGTTCGATAATATCCCGCTGCTCAAAAAGGAAGGTTAGGTCATTTGCAATTGCTCACTATGAAATGTGCACTCTGCATGTGGCCAGAGGACTCCTGCTTGCACTCAAAGCAAAGAGTGCATTACTGTGTCCGCAACAGGTCAGATGAGAATAACATGTTTAATATTAATTCCAAGTAGAAACTGCAGTCAGAAGCAGCCCATTTCTGAACACGATTCTTGGGGTAGAAAAGGAAATGGACAGAAGAGGAAAAAAGACACGGCCGTGATCAATCTGAAATACCATATTCTTTATTTGTTCATTTTGCAAAAGGGGGACAGCTAGTTTTGTGAGGTTGGTTTTTTAACAGGTGTATTTGTAACAAATTTTAGCGTTTGGCCAGCTGTATATCTCACTGTTTAGCTGCCTTTTGTTTTGGTATGATCCTACCATAGCCCACTGCCTTTAGTGTTACTTAGTGGAGAAAAGATATGTTCAGGCCTTCCCTCCTGTCAATACTTAATTTCTTTTTATTATATGTGCTGTTGTTTATCTGAAAATTTTTTATGCTTCACTGTATACTTTTTATGGATGCCGCTCAGAGTGGTCGATTCGACCAGATGAGCGGGATATAAATCAAATGAATAAATAAATAAATATTCAGATCTTGGCATTATTTTAATATATGCTTCAGCATTTCAACTCTTTGCTGCTGGTTTCATTAGGTGCCTGTCTCTAGTCCTCTTTCTGGTTATTTGGCATTGTATTTGTTGATTCCTTTAGTATTGTATTCTCATTTTTAGTAAGTTAAATACTGTACTGTATTGTAATTGTTGTAAGTTTCCTTGTGTCCTTTTTATGACAAAGATGGTTTAAAATTGTTAAAACAATTTGCTTGCATTTTTTTTTCTTTTTTAAAAAATGAGGTTCTTTTTAAGGAGCAAGGTGTGTTAAAATATTCTGAATAAATAATTTGTATTTCGTTTCTTTTTTTAATTACATTCTTTTTAAGGAGAAAGGGGGATTAAAACATTTAAATATATAAATAATTTTTGTATTGTTTCTTTTTTTAATCAGATCCTTCTTAAGGAAACATGGCTGGTTAAACTATTTTAAAGCAATCAATAATTAGCTTGCATTTCTTTTCTTTTTTTTTAAATCAGGCTCCTTTTTAAGGAGAAAGGCCGGCTAAAATACTTTAAATAAATTGTATTGCCTTTTTAAGGAGAAAGGCAGGTTAAAATACTTTAAATAAATAAATACATTGATTTCTTTTCTTTTTTTAGGTCCTTGTTAATACAGCTTAAAATGTTTTCCATAAATATATAATTTGTATTTTTTCCCTTTTGTTAAATTAGGTCCCCTTTAAAGGATAAATAAACCTAGTAAAATAGCTTCTATTTCCTTTTTAATTAAAAAAATAGACATATATTGTGTGTTTACCTCACCTCACTTAGGGTCGAAAACATGTATTTAAACCTCCACCTCCCCCACCATTACCACCACCCGGGCTCTGGGACGGGGAAGGGAGGGCGTGGGCCGCCGAGCGCTCTGCCCATGCCCAGAGGATAACCCGGTACCTCTCACGATGGCGCACTCGACGACCGGCCCGAAGTCCTCGAAAAGGACGCGGAGGTCATCGCTGGTGCAGTGCTCCGAGACCAGGCCCACGAAGATCTTGAAGGTCCGGAAGCGCCGCACCGACAAGCGGAGCCCGCGGAACGGCCGGCCACAGAGCTCCTCGAGGGCCCGCTCGGCCGCCGCCTCGTCGCGCATGCGCACCACGGCGCCTGGCCCGCGGAAAATGACGTTCCGCACCTCGCCGGGCTCCGTGGCCTCCTCGAAGAGCCGCACCACGTCCCCCTCAGAGGTCCTCGGGGGAAGGTGGGCCACCAGCAGCTCCACCGGCCGGCCGCGGGGAGGGCCAGGCCGCGAATACGGAGGAGGCGACGCCATTCGGGCGAGCAAGGAGGCGGGAGAGCGAGCGCGCGAGCTCCCGCTAACGGTTCCCAACGGTCGCTTCCTCGAGAAAGGGGGCCTTCTGGGCACGCGCGCTGCGCCTGCGCGGCCCCACCCCTGTTTCCCGTCCCTGAGGGAAAGGACGCTTCCTCTCGAGCTGCGCCTGCGCAGCCCCACCCCTGTT